TCCAGGCTGAACAGCCCCAACTTTCTTAGTCTGTCCTTATACCGGATCCCTGATCCCTACCTCCAGCTCCCTGATCATCCTCGTGGCCCTCCTCTGGACTTGTTCCAACAGTTCCATGTCCTTCTTATGCTGAGGACACCAGAACTGTACACAATACTTCAAGTGAGTTCTCACAAGAGCAGAGTAGAGGGGCAGGATCACATCATTCTACCTGCTGGTCACGCTCCTTTTGATGCAGCCCAGGATACGGTTGGCTTTCTGGGCTGCAGGCGCACACTGCCGGCTCATGTTCATTTTCTCATCGAAATCCCCAACTCCTTCTCCGCAGGGCTGCTCTGAATCTCTTCTCTGCCCAGCCTGTAGCTGTGTCTGGGATTGCTCTGACCCAGGTGTAGAACCTTGCACTTGTCATGGTTAAACTTCATGAGGTTGGCATCAGCCCACCTCACAAGCTTGTCAGGGTCCCTCTGGGTGGCATTCCTTCTATCCAGCATATCAATCAAACCACGCAGCTTGGTGTCATTGGCAAACTTGCTGAGGGTGAGCTCAATCCCAAGCGTCCATGTCACCAACAAAGATCTTGAACAAGACCAGACCCAACACAAGATCCCCGAGGGGCACCACTTGCTACTGGTCTCCAACTGGACATTGAGCCATTGACCACAACTGTGTGCAGCCATCCAGCCAGTTCTTTATCCACCAAGTGGTCCACCTATCAAATTGATGTCTCTCCAATTTAGAGACAAGGATGTCATGTGGGACAGTGCCAAATGCTTTGCAGAAGTCCAGGTAGATGACATCAACTGCTCTACCCCTGTCCATCAGTACTGTAGCCCCATCATAGAAGGCCACCAAATTGGTCAGGCAGGATTTGCCCTTAGTGAAGCCATGCTGGCTGTCACCAAGCACCTTGTTGTTTTTCATGTGCCTTAGCATGCCTTCCAGGAGAATCTGCTCCAAGATTTTGCCAGGCACAGAGGTGAGACTGACTGGTCTGTGATTCCCTGCATCATCCATTTTCCCCCTCTTGAAAATGGGGGTTATATTTCCCTTTTTCCAGTCGTCAGGAACTTCACCTGACTGCCATGATTTTTCAAATATGATGGCAAGTGGCTTACCAACTTCATTTGCCAGCTCCTCCAGGACCTGTGGGTGGATTTCATTAGGCCCCATGGACTTGTGCATGTTCAGATTCTTAAGATGGTCTCGAACCAGTTCCTCTCCTACAGTAGGTCCAAGGTCTTCATTCTCACAGTCCCTGCACCTTCCTTCCAAGACTTGGGTGGTGCGGGCCAGAGCCTTTGCCAGTGAAGACTGAGGCAAAGAAGTCATTGAGAACCTCAGCCTTCTCCAAACCCTGTGTAGCTAGTTCTCCTGATAGCTTCCTGAGAAGGCCCACGTTGTCCTTAGTCTGTCTTTTATTCACAATGTACCTATAGAATCCCTTCCTGTTATCTTTCACATCCCTAGCCAAGTTTAATTCTAACTGGGCCTTAGCTTTCCTAGCCTGGTCCCTAGCTTCCCGGACAACATCCCTGTATTCTTCCCAGGCCGCCTGTCCTTGCTTCCACCTTTTATAAGCCTCTTTTTTCCCTCTAAGTTTCCTCAGCAATTCCTTGTCTATCCAAGGAGGTCTCCTGGCCCTCCTGCTGCACTTCCTTTTATTTGGGACACAACAGTCCTGAGCTTGTAGCAGGTGATCCTTGAATATCAGCCAACGGTCTTGGCCCCCCCTGCCCTGGAGCATCACATTTCCAGCCACCCCTCCCTGTTGGTGATCATGAGGTCAAGCATGGCACCTCTCCTTGTCTCTACTACTTGCAAAAGGAAGTTGTCTTTCCATAGTCTTCAGCCTATCACTGACATAAATAGCAACTCCTCCTCCTCGTCTGCTGGGCCTGCCTTCTCTATAGAGTCTGTAACCTTCCATTCCAACACTCTAGTCATAGGATCCATCCCACCATGTTTCTGTGATACCAACTATATCATATCCCCATAGATGTGCGCACATCTCTAACTCCTCTTGTTTGTTCTCTATACTACGGGCATTTGTATAGAGCCATCTGAGCCGAGCTCCAAATGAAGCTGGCTCATTGGCTGGAGTGGCTGAAATATCTCTACATTGCTCCGAGTATTTATTATAGGTGCTGGCAACTGACTGGGTGTGTTGGGATGGAATGATGACCCCCTCCCCTAACACATCTAGTTTAAAGCTTTTTTGACAAGCCTGGCAAGCCTGCTACCAAAACTTCTACCAAGCCTGCTACCAAAACCAGCTCCACCAGCCTCCAGTAGACCTGGCCTCCCAGATTGCATCCCACCATCATCACCATCACTGTAGTAGAGCTGGTGACTGGTCGTGGTTTCTTCCCTTATTGTTTCCAACAGCTGGAGCAATTTTGTGCCATAGCTTTGTTATGGGTGAATTGTTCTTTCAGTTCTTTCCTATTCACTCTTATCCTTCAAACAGCTTCAGTCTCGGTGTTTTATGTCCTTGCACAGTACAAGGAGGAAGGTTCAAGCATGCACCACTGCTTCAGGCGGGACCTCTCACGATCAAATCAATACTCTCATGGTTTTATGCAGTTGGTAGGAGCTCACCAGTCTGGCAGCTGGGCAGCTCACCTGCCTTCCTCCCAGATTGCTTTGTGCAGCACAACCACCAGAGAAGCTGCTGAGGAGGACATAAGCCTCAGGTGGGCCCTGAGTTTTACTATCAGTGCAAAACACGTAATGAGCATTGACCTCCCTGCATAGTGAATTGGTTCTGGTGGCACTGTCAGAGCCTGCTTTGCTGCTAGGGAGCCTGTGACTACCATTGTAGATGAAACATCACTGGACAAAGTCTCATCTTCCCTTGGTTTAAGTTGAATATGATTGTAAGGTAATCAGCCAGATCCAGCCAAAAACTCACTGCAATTGAGCATTTTTACCCGTTTTCATGAGGTTTTGGGGAATGAGTCCAGCCAAGGCAGAAGGCTTAAAACTACCTATCCCAACATTTCCTGGCCCAGAGTTTAGTAGATCTGCAGAAGCGGTTAAACTTCTGGATTGCCTTCAGCACTTGAACCCTTGCCTGAGTCTAGCAAGTTGACTGAAGCCTTTCTTAATTTTTAATTTTTTAAGTCATCTACATGTAGGCCTTTTGTAGGTAAGCTCAGCATCCTGAGCCTAATGATACATATAAAAATGAGAAAATTGCATATGCAACACCGCTACCTTACTGAGACCTATTTGTATGTTGTCACGACATAACATAGTCTTTATTCCTGCATCTTAAACTGGGGTTGGGATATTTGAAGTATAATAATTTCTTGGGTTAGGGAGTCAGCTGCTCTGTTCTTCCTTCCTTAGCAACATGAGGCCACAGGAGGAGGTCAAAAGATTATTCTTTTTTCATTATTCTTTATTCAATTCTTCAGTGGAAATAGACACTCTTTTCACTGAATCCATTTATTTCATTGCTGCTGATGGAAAGCTCATTTGTGTCCCACAAAGAGTTAGAGAACTTTGGATGTTCTCCTTTTTATTGGGATTTAAGGCTTGCTCAGGGGAAGGATGGTGCACAAGTCTGCTAGAGATCCTCTCTTACTGCTGCACACTCCACTCGATGTACTTTGATACACGGAGGTGACAAAATGAGCATCCTCCATCCTTACCTGCATAGGAAAGCTCAGCATAGTGCATCTTGCTGGGAAGGATTTTTTTCCTTGGCTCAGAATATCTGTGGTACCTCCATCACTGGACCTCTTGTTTAAGCTGGATTGCTTCTGCTTCACCTACAAATTGCACTGTGACAAGTGATGGAGCATCCTGGAGCAGTGGCAGTTTTGCTGCAGATAAATGCTGAGAAACTCCCAAGCCACTCAATTTCTAAGCCATGATAGCTGTGGAACATTTTCTGATGTAAGCTTTTAAACTCCATACCTGGTGGCAGAGAGATGAGTTGGATACAAGTAATCTCAACCCATCTCTCTCCTCTCCCTGGTTATCAGCCTCTGTCAGTTGATTGCATTTTGGGCAGCCGAGCAGGGTAGAGCACTATTGCAGTGATGGTTGTAATCACCTTGAATGACCCTGGTTTCACCCCTGGGGAGACAGTGTTGCGGTTTTTTCCCCCCTTAGAGCAATTTCCAAGTTCAGCCCCTTAAGACTGAGCTGAAAAGCCTCACTTTCAGGAGAGATGGCTCTGCTCCTGGGGTGCCTGTCCCTCTCTGTGTGGCCACTCATTCCATCTGTCTCACCAATATATTTTCCCTCCTGGAAGCCAAATGCTGCCTGCAGGGCCCCTCAGATCGATGCCGCTGTGCGAATGAGGGAAAATGAAAGCAAGAAATAGAGGTTTGACTCCAGGCACTGAAGGCAATTGTCATAATTTTTTCTTCAACACCCGAGTGGGAGTTGGCTGGGATCTGTCAAGCTGCAAGTTCTCACACACTGGGTAAATATTTATGGTCTGATTCACCACTGAATCACTCCGTTATTTCTTTGGCCCTGTTCAGGGAAACTGCTTTGTCACTGGGATAACACCAGCTCTCTGAGGCGCTCTCACCTTCATATTTTAGCACCTCATTGTCATGTGTGCCTGTCCTCACAGTGACATCAGGATGGGGAGATGGTGTCGTCTCTTCCTGGCAGAGGAAATCAGAGGCACACTGGTCACAGGCACCTGAGGTTTCTCTGACACTAAACCCAAAACTGGTGAAAAGCTCCAGCTGTCAGCTGGTGAGACCTCGGTGTGATGCTAAAGTGTCCATGCATAGCATACGGTGGTACACATGCAGTATCACAGCCTCTCTCATGGGATTTGCCATGTTTTAGGTGCCCCTTGGTGAATGGAGGTCATAACAAGCTCCTGCTGCTACATGGTAGTCATACAATAGCTGCACTGCTTGTCTTGCTATACCTGGAAGAGCTTCTGGGGGGATGCAAGAGTATTTTTCCCTCCAGAGGCAACGGTGCCAGTGTTTTGTGTGTACAGATCTCTTCTTTCATTGCAGGTGGAAGAGAGCATGATGGATGTGTACGATTTTGTGTATGAGGAGGTGAGGAGGAATGCCTCCAGCTTCAGGAGGCATGAGCTGACTGCCATTCACAAAGCAGTAAGTTGTCTTTCTCAGCCTTAGCAGAAAACCTTGCCCTAGGCTATCTTCCCAAGGTTTCAGCAGGCTGGGTCTGATGTCTGTGCTCTGCCTCATGGATGCTGCAGTCTCATTTTTCCTCAGGAATAGAGTACTCCAGCCTGCTAAGAAATCTGCACCTCCCTTCCTACTCTTCCTCTCCCAGGTCTGACCAACCAGATTACCAACAGGAGGAGAGGCCCACCTCCCTGAGCATCATTCATATGCGAGATCATCAGTGCTGCTGCACAGTAGCTGTTACACGTATTGTCTGTCTAAGCAGGCCCTCTGCCATGTTCCCTATCTGTAGTATGAGAAAGTGGACATGCACCTCTTGTGTCCCTGAACAGGCAGAGAGAGGGAGATAATTCCACATTGTGTAGCAGAAGTATTTGGACTTGGTTATTTCTGTTTATCCTTGAGCCTGTGACTGAGGAGTACTGGAGGCTACCAGGCCTCTTGCAATGCTGGAGACTGCTAGCAAGCTCCCAAAACCTACCACCCAGGATACTGTTGGGGCAGGGGACTTCTCTTTAGCTTGGTAGGTGGGCAAGGGTTTTAGCTTGGTAGGTGGCCCAGAGCACAGGGAGGATGTTTGCCCTCAAAGCCACAGGAAATAAGTGAGGGTGTCCCCCATGGTGAGAAACTCCTGAGTTCCCACTGAGTAAAGGAGATGCTGTTCCATCCACCTCCCACTCAACTCCCTTTATCGTCCTGTGTTTTATTAAATCATTGTAACAAGTACTTTCTGAAGCTGTTTTCATCCATGCTTCTTAAAACACAGAAAAGGGCAAATGTTTCTCAATTTGATGATGGTGGTGGCCCTCAGCAATGACCAGCCAGAGTGGTGCTTGCTCTGCAGACTTTTGGAGCAATACACCCAGAGTCCTGCTTGTCAAGGAGAACCAGGCACAATACCGAGCTTTATCAGTTCATCAATTGCTTATTTTAGCTACTTTAAGTGATGGAGAAACAGTCCCTCTACTCCCATGGGCATCCCCTTGCTAGAGCTCCAAACTGGCCAGTTCACTCCAGCTATAGGAAGCCATTTCCATAGTGGGTGTTGCTGGGGATCCTCCCAGCCCATAACAAACACTGGGCTCCTCGCATCCCTGGGTTTTCCAGACTAGACACTGCGAGAGCTGGTGTGACCATGGAGGGAGGGCTTGGCCCCAGCCTCCGGCAGTAGGCCTGGAAAAGCACAGGCAAATTTGGGGCCAGATCCATGTATGTCCTCTGAATTTAACTTCCATTGCTGTAGTTGTTGATTGCATACCTACATGCTTCGCTCCTTGCAGCACTGCTTGTATAGCCCTGCCTGTGGCAGCAGGGGGAAAGTGTGGCCCATCACTGACACCTTCTGCTGTGTCAGCTGGTGGCAAGGAGAGAGCTCCCATGTGTGGCTGGCAGATCTCTCCATCTTTTTCCAGTTCCTGTGCTGTGGGAAGCATTCTCCATTTGGGGACACAACCAGCGTTGAGAGCAAGACATGCCCACCCGGCCAGGCAAACAATGCTGGACAGGTAAGGGAAAGGTTTCCTCGTCCACACAGTGGGGCTGTGCTGCTACTCAGTAACTGTTAATGACAACTGTGGCGTTTCCACAGTTTGGGGTTACTTTGGTTGGGGGTTAGTTGTGGTGGGGTTTTGTTGTTTCAGTAAGGAGGAACCCCAGTGGATCACAGGTGTCAGACTCGCAGATGTGGTTTCTTGTGCAGCTCTAGAAACCCTTCAAAATGCCTGTGTTTGCAGCCTGTCACTTCCCTCCAGTTTCCTCTTCATTTCCTGCATATGCAGAGTGTGAGGTATCATGGCATGTGTTTGAGCTCACATGTTGGACTTTTCCACTTGACACTGCTTTCTGAGGCTTCAGAAGTGTCACACTAACAATAAACGTGGAATTTTCTGTAACTGCTTTTTCCCAGGACATTAAATAAGTACTAAAATGAGCACCTCATGAAGCAGAGTGATGATGCCCAGCAGTAGCTTCATCAAGTATACTTCATTCTTCCCCTTTTCAGTAGTTCAGTGAGGTTGATGGAGAAGCCACCAGTATTAGACTGCCTCTGTGCTGAAGCCGTAACGTAGACTTCATACTCTCTGAGCAAAGCTATCACATGATGATTTTTCTTCCACAGGAGTAGCCAAATCAGCTGAAGTAGCTGAAGCTTCCAGCATCAATATGTGTGTTGATGGAAAACAAAACCGTGTTGCTACAGTTATACAAAAACATTGTTGTTAGGCAAAGATGTCACACACTAAGAGGACACCATGATGCACAGTCACGCATCAGCCAGTGGGGCAGCCTTTCAAAGCACTGCCTCTAGGAAGCAGGGGCAGAATAGACCAAAGAGAGGAAGGGAGGGAAGAGTTAAACCAGGCACTAGGTGGGTGACTGTTCCCCTCCTTCCCCCCCCCTCAAAGTTTTGTGTTCCCTCCGGTAGTGAGCCACGGGAGGTGGCCTAGGGGGGATGCATTTTGCAACCCAGAGAACCGCAGTGTTTGGTAGTTGCACTGCATTCACTCCTGGCTTTGCGTGCTCTTACTTCACTCTGCAAATCACTTAATCAAGGGCAGGCTCTTGCATTTTTTAAATGGCTCTCTTAGCTAACACCTCCTGGATTTCCGTGGGGCTGCTGGCATGCTTAAAGCTAATGTATATTAATGCTTGTGAGACCTTCCAAAATTGAGCAGTTCATTAGCGTCTTTGAGGAACGTATTAGCATTACAGTGTGCTCTGCTTTTCTGTCTTGTCTGTTCCATCTTTCTATTTTCCAGTGATTGGAAACAAAAGGAAGTTTGCATGACCACACTTACCTGTACATGCACAAATCCCCCACAGTGCGAAACACATCATACCAAGGAAATCATAGGTGTATTGTAGCAATAGGAAATACACTGCAGGTGATTGTCTTCCCATGCTGCAGCCAGCAGCAGGATAAAGGAGAGCTGATCACACAGCAGCCCAGTTGTGCAATGCTGCATCCTCCTCTCGTTTCCTTTTCTATCTGGGGTTGTGGCAAGTGCTCTTTGCAGGGTCAAAGCCCCACAGCTGAGCTGCTGCTGCACTGCAAAGGGTCTCTCTCTCCCTAGGACTGTCTCCGAGAGATCCAGTTCTTCCTGAAGAAGCACATGGACTTTGTCACCACACTCCTGGGCATCACCATTGGCTTCACGGTATCTGTTTGTTCCTTCTCACTTTGGCCCCAAGAGGCAGGCTCCAGCATGGAAACGTATCCTAAATTAGCCCCCAGAAGCTAGAATTTTGGGTCATTTTGGAGGCTGGGGTAGAGAAACAAGCAGTGGTGGACTGCACTGTGGAAATTACGAAAGGGCCAGGACCTGTCTTATTCAGGCTGATGGATGGAGGTTTTCTCCTGCAGGAATAGCCTTGCTGCCTGGTTTTTCTGACCAAACCAGGCATGACAGATGGGAGTGGGGAGCAGTGGGAGTTGGCATTCCACCCACCCAGGTTTGCCTGTGCATCCTCTCCTGTAAGTGAGATGCTGTGTCACCTGGCGCAGGGCTTGCAGATGAGGTTGGAAGCCGGCAGTAGCTGTGGAAAAGGAGATGCAGTAAAAGCTCTGTATTAGGAAACTTGCTACCTCTCCTTGCCCAGCACTCACTGGCTGCTTCCCAGCTCAGCTCGGGAAGTCACATTGTTTGACCAGAGCTGGAAGGTCTTGAAAGCTACTGAGCACCAATAGTGGAGGTGGAGAGCTGTGTGGGAAGGGAAGGTCTCATCCTCTTAATGACCACTAATAAGCCCAGGAAGCTGCATCTTGGGCAGTGGGTGGGTAAAGCACAGGCTTGTAAGCAGCAGAGGAAAGTAGCATGTTGCCTGGGCTCCCAGGCACCGTCTTTGAAGTAGGATTTTGCAGAGGAGGGGTAGGATGATTTGGGTAGAAAGGGTCTGTACTGAATCTGTGAATCTTATTTGGGGGAAGATGAAAGGAAAAATGAAATACTGCAAGAGGAACATGTCCTTAGGTGGTGAGGGAGGTCAATGGCCGCATGGGGGATGTCCCTTCAGAGCTGGAGAGTGCTAATTAAAACAAGCCTGCTTGCATGCCTGGCAGAGGTGTATTGCTGTAATTACCTCTACACAGGGGCCCTGCATGTGTGTTGAAGCACACCAGAAAAAAGTACACACCAAGAGATCTGTTTCTTCACTAAGAAGGGAGGTTTGGGCTGCTGTGATATCTCCATGCTGCTCTCCAGCTGGGGCAACCTTTCCTGACTGATTTAATTCCTTCTGTCTGCCTTGGCACAATTATGAGTTAGAAAACTTTTCTTCATCTAAATAAAACCCAGAGGAACAAACACTTTTGTGTTTTATACTGCTAGTAGTAAATTAGGAGAACCATCAGGCATTGCTATGGCTCTATAAATGTAAAGTCATGTGTGAATACGTGGTGTCACTTTCTAATTTTTCTCAGGTATAGGAGGAATTTCACTGCAGCTATATTCAGACAAAAGTGGGAGCGGGTTTTATTATATATATATCTCTTTTTCACAGCTTGATGCCATAGCCAGATAAGGCAGCTCTCTTTAAAGTGTGTCCTAGAGGAAGTCTCACTTCACAGTTCACTATTGTGATGGCAGGATGCAAGGGAGGCATGCGACAAGGACTGTAGCTCCTCTGATGTCACTGTTCCTCAGCCAACAATACATACATGGCCCCATATCAATCCACAAGCAAAGGCACTTGCACATTAAGGCAGAGGCTTTTGGGGAAACAGCCCTTGTTTATCCTTCCCACAGCAGCCTTACCTTTGATATGTTGCCTGTGTAATCCTGGTATGTGATATATCAGGGAGAATGTTAAAATACAGAGGAAATGCACTGTCCTCTGCATTCTCAAGTGTGCACGTGCATGGGGTGGGGGTTGGACTGTAAGGGGTTTTTTTGTTCTGTTTTGTTGGGGGTTTTTTACTCCAAACAATACATGAGGATTGTTTGGGTTTTTTGTTATGTTTTGGTTTGGTTGTTTCTCCCTATGTTCTCCTTACAAAAGGATGTTATTAAGAGAGTGATCTGTTTGTTTGCATAGAGAAATGTTTTGTGGTCAGAATTTGAAATCTGAATTTCCTGGTTTCATCTCATTTCTTGGTATTTTCAGGGCCAGGTTTGAGCTGTACTGTGCTAATTCTTATCAGATGCCTTTTAGCCACATGTTGTTCTTTCTTTGTATCTTTATTCTTCCTCTTCCCTTCCAACTGCTGCTCACCATTCTACCAGAAAACAGCTCTCAAGAAAAATGTTACATCCCAATACATAAATTCAGAAGTGCCAAGTGGACTAATAGGCAGCACTTATGATCACTTATTTGCACAAATAGAACATCATAATCAGTTCAGCATTTAATTGTGTGCCCATCTCATGTATTTCCTTTTAGGTTTATGGAATGATCTTGACTTCATTCCTCTGGTTCTCCATCCACTTCAGCAGCAACCTGGATAGGAAAGGAAAATACATTCTGCGAGAGAGGTAGAAACCCATCACCTGGGCATCCTTACCAGGCAGAGCCAGCTTTTGCACAGGAAGATGTCTGAAGTCACACAGAGAATCCCCTGGGAAGGCCTTACACGGGTTCAGCCAGTGGGGTGTGTGTCATGCATTTCCCCTTCCTGCACTACTAGCTGTTGTGCATTTCTGAGCTGGTCAGAGCAGACGGTGCTCTAAGGAGGAGCAGTTCCACACCTTTGCCAAAAAAAAACAAGGCCTGAGACACACTGGAGGACTGAGAAACTGGAGCAGGTTGCCCAGAGAAGCTGTGGCTGCCCCATCCCTGGCAGTGTTCAAGGCCAGGTTGGATGGGGCTTGGAGCAACCTGATCTAGTGGAAGGTGTCCCTGCCTGTGGCAGGGCGGTTAGAACGAGATGAACTTTAAGGTCACTTCCAACCCAAACCATTCTGTGATTCTATGATGCACCTAGGCCTGGAGATGCAGATCAGCTCACCAGGAGACAGAGGGGCTGTAGCTCCACAAACAGGACACAAAGAGCCCCTTAAGACAAAAATGGAGAGAAAAGCCCAGCAAAAATCACACCATTAAACCAAACTTCTCTTGTGTTGTCATCTGAGCATTCCCTGTGACCCCCGAAGATGTAATATTTCTAGGAAGATGGCTTTGGATCACAGCCCAGAATAATCTTGGACTATTGGCAAATATATGGACACAAGATGTGTCACCGGTGATGGGAAATGTGTTCTTGTAGCTTGGACGCTCATGACATTGGGCATGTTTCTGATCATGCTCAAGTATGTAGGCAGCCAATGACTGACAACTGTTTTTCCCCTGTGTTCAAATATTGCCAGGTTTACACCAGCTACCAGCTTTTGGTAGAGATCAGGAAAAAAATCAGAAAAACAGTGCATGAGCTTTGAAACAAATAGCCAGCAAACGGACACATACTTCTGTTATTCCTCTTTATTAATGCAATACACCATGATTTTTTAATTCCTAGCATGTAGTCAACCTCCTAGAGCTTGATGCCACACTGGTTTCACAGGGGCTTGTTCAACTTCTATCCTTAGCTCTGTGTTTATCTAGCTTCACTAGCCCACAGCACTGCTGTGCAATACAAAAGGACTTTGATATTACACATACATGCAGGTCTGAAGTTTAAATCTATAAAGGAACAGGACTGATCTTCAGCCAGGTCAAACAATACAATGTCCAATTCCATGTCCTCTCTTTACATCATCACCTTATCAATAATAAACAGAAATTTTAAAAGCCTCCATCAGCTCTCAGTCTAGGTCAAATGATGGCTCCCTGGTGTGCTTTGCCCTCATTGCAAGGAGGCAGAGCCGCCTCTGAGCTGAAACTCATCATTGCAATAGACTTAGTACCTGCTGGAAAACCTGCTGTAAACTATATGGCTATGTGCAATGTCTTGAACCAACAACAGCTTTCACGCCTCTCATTTGTTGTGGCTTTTAGCCATGAGAAACAGTAAGTAGCAATTGTTTATTGAGATAAATGTGGAAATCCCCATGCTGAAGTTCAGGACAGGTCCTGGCCCTCAGGCAGGGGCTGCTACACACACAAGAATAGCAGTACAGCCTACAGCACCTGGTTAGTATTTTAACATGGCTGCAATTACCTTGTGTTGGAAGGAATTGTGCTGGGGGGTAGGCTATCACTCCTCGTTCTGCTCCTCTGGAATGGAGCTTCACCGTTGATTTCACTGTAAACGGCATCAAGTTCAAACTGCTCCAGAATGTTACTCAAGCTACCTTGTAGCAGTCACCAACATGCCTCGGTCTAGCAGGGATTTAGAGGTGATACACACTTGCCAACATACCCACATTCTAGTTTATTTCTCTCCAGTGACAGACAATCTCCCTTGTGAGCTCCAGCTGCTATTGTTCAGGCCACCACTATTGTTATTCCTTAGCCCAGCTGGCAGCTTGTGTGACTCATGGTTGCTTCAGTAAAGATGAATTTCTTGCAGAAGGCCATCATTCCTTCTCTTTTTCTGCTGTGCACGAGGCTGCCTGCATTGCTCAGGGTTTGCGTCATGCAGAGCCCTCAGTAATTCTTTCAGTGCTGGGAAGAGATATTCCCCAGGCAGCTGGTGCTCACCTGCCCCAGCAGCATGCCTTAGCACCCAAGAGCGAGAGGATGGCATTGGTCCTTTGGAGGAAAAGGAGCTGCTCATCAGCCTGATCCTGCCCTTGGCTAGCTGCTGGCACAGCAGGCAAGTGCTTTGTGAGGATTAATGCAAGCAGAGGCAGGAAAAAAAGCTTAAGGACACAAGCAATTGAGACTGGAGTATTTATATGAAAGATATCTCTACAATTTCACTTTTTTAAACACTATGTAGTCAGCTCTTGCCCATCACTCTGTGTGGGCTGGACACCTGATGATACTCTACACTGGAAATCAAGCAAGTCAGTGGAGTCTGTGTTACTGGTGTGGGTTACCTGCTTAAGCCTTATCAACAAGGGGGAGAAATCTTTGTTAAAGCTTCACCACCAGGTCTGCTTAATGCTTTAGGTGTTGAAATTACTGTAGACAGGAATAGCATGCATATGATAAAGTAAACCTGAAAGGCTATTGTATCCCTCTCCCTCAGCTCTCTTTTCCCTTGAATCGTTTATGATCAGTGAAATGTCACCAGAAGCAGCAGACAGACACCTCTCTAGCAGTGACCATGTAAGGGTGTGTGTGCATAGCTGCTGTTTTTACACCTCTGTGATGATTTCTGCTGCTTGCAACAGGGATGAGTACACAACCTGCACCAAACCATCTCGCAAAGGGAATAATGCACCTGAAGAGTTGTTGTTTCTTCTTCCCAAGCACCAGCAGACTGGAAGCATGCATTTTTTGTCCCAGAGAGCTGGAAGTTCCCTTTCTTCCTCTGATACCCAACTAGCTGGCCATCTCATGATCTGTATTGCCGTTTCACCCACCACTGGAGTTCCCTAGCGAGGAGCAGCACTTTAATGAACAGCCACCTGGCCAGACACACTCTCCTACCAGAGCTCGTGCTGCGTGTAGCACAGAAAATGGCATCCTGCTGTCGTTTTAAGGAGCAGGAATGTGGATACCTTCAACTTCTTCGTTTTTAGAAGCCTGGTGCAGAAGAGTGCAGTGACCCTTTTGTTTGCAGTTGTAGAAATGGCAGCACCCAGGGGATGGCTGGAGGGGTGCTGCGAAGCTGGGGCAGGGGGAGGGGGAGTTGAACAGGTTTCTTTACACCTCTGCCAACAAAAAAATCTCTGTCCTGCAGTCAATGTGCTTGCACTCATTAGTCCCTAATTTGATTCTTGCTATGGGCAAATTACAGCTCTTGTGCTGCCGGAGCAAAACTCCAGGAACCTATTGGTAAGTACTGCCAAGATCTCCCCAGTGTTGAGAAGAGCGAGAGAGGTTTTACTGGGATAAGAGCTTGGAAGTGAGCAGAGGGGATGCAAAGCCAGCAGCCAGGCTAGGTAACACCTGCAGAGCCAGTGAGCCTTACTGGGGCTTGCAAAAGCAGAAGCTGGTTGTTACAAGTATGTCAACGCTCAAACTCTGGTAGGAAAAGAATCCCTATTTATGTAGGCATATGCAGGAAGAGAAAAAAAAAACAACAACTTAGAGACCAAAGGTTAATATTTAAGTTAAATATTTAATTGTGAATTGGCTCCAATTAATTGTCAGTTAAGCCCCAACAATCACCAATTAGTTCCACCGAGTTTACCTGAGCAGTTGCAGTTTGGCCTCTGTATGGGTAGGCATTACCTTGTGCTCATGAGTTATTCTCTTGTTTTAGATAAACCCCCAGCTGTAGCTGAGGACTTGGGAAGAGGAAGCAGACTAAGGGCAGGCAATTACCTACAGGGCTGGGGAACATCAGACACGGCAGTGGTAAGAAGCCTTTTGTGCTGCTTTCCAGCTTTGATGCCCATGCACCACTCCAGTCCTGCTCTGCCAGCGTGAGCATTAACTTCCCCTGAGGCTTTACATAGGGCTTACTGCATGCCCATGGGTGGCCTGACCACAGCTTGCTTATGAGTCAGGGGACCTCTCTCAGAGCCTGCTCTGAGAGCAGCAGATGCTGTTTTCCAAGGTACTGCTCATGCAGAATTGCAGGTGAGCAGGGTGCAGCTTTACGCAGCAGCAAAGGATGCTCAGTACTTCTGCAAAGCAGATGTTTCAGTACCTGACAAAACCTGAGGATCCCAGAGCACTTGTGCAAAGCATGGATTCAAGCAGTTTACTGACTCTCTAGAGGGATTCGATGGTAAGGAGAGTGGGAATCGTTCGGCCTCACAGTGTGCTGGCTTGGCTCCGAAATGTTTTGCTATTTCCTGCCATACTGGCTGTGCGTCAACTGCCAGTTCCACTGCCATCGAGATACAACTTTCTCATGCAATAGCCCCTTTGCTGCACAACTCTCATGTCTGCAGCAAGCTCCGAAAGGAGATGCCACTGAGCAAGCTGTGTATAAGCAAGCATTGTAGGTTAGCAAACTTGCGTGGATCTTTGCTGCTCTGTGGTGGTGAGGAAGCCATCTCCAGCTAAGGTAAAGCTGCATTTCCGAGGTGCAGACATACAGGATATTTTCTGAAAAAAAAGAGTTGCTAGATATGTATTTTCAACAGGTGCAGAAGCAATTAGTTTGCAAAAGCAGCTGGCTATAATTCTGCTCCAAAATGACAGCCAGCAGTGGTAGATGCTCCACACAGGAGAACTCCACCAGCACAGCTGAAGGCAGGTAAGGTCAGAAGCTGCTTTGAATACACGGTGGCATCACACGTGACATGTCATTGCAATTCTCTCTTTGAGTAAAATGCTGTAGTAGGGTGAAAAGCGATTTTTCTTAACTGTGTAGTTCGTCTTCTGAGGGAGTGAGCAACCGACAGTGAGCATCAGCCTTGTCCACTGAGAAACGTAGCAGTGGGTGGGATGAAGGGGGAGACTGCAGGAGCGAGGAGGGGGGAACCCCAGGGCAGCCTCGGAGGCTGGTTTGCTAGAACACAGGCAGTGTGTGTTTTGCAGCTTTCAGCCTCGGCTGCCAAACCCGTGACTGGCTGCAAGCCTGACGGTGGTGAGGCTGCTCCACTGCACTCCATGCCGAACATCTCACCCCCACCACAAACCCAGTGCTATCTTTAGTCACGTGGCGTTTTGGGGTCCATCAAATACATTAGTGCCCGGGGCAATCTGCATTATCTACCCCTTCTAGGAGGGTAGTGAGGAAAAAGAAACCCACCTCTTTATGTGGAAGACATACAGGGCTGTTGCTCAGCTTGTAAGGAATCATCAGGACATCTTGGACAAAATACTTTCACATGAGCCAAGAGGTGCCTACCCACAGCTAATACCCTCCTGTCTAAGCAGATGCCATTCCCTTAGGTTCCAGCAAGTGAAAAGGAAAGGTCCTTCCCAACATTCTTTCCAGGAAGATACATATCCCTGTGTCACTCTCCCTGGAGTCACTGGCAGCCAGCTGGCTGGGTTGTTTATGTTATCCCAAGGCAAAATCCCCCCTTTCTCCCTTCAGCATCACCCAGTGCTATTGTTTACCCCCCATGTGCACCAGCATGCTCATGGATGGGCTCACTTTCTTTTTAGCCCTGTTGGATCAGCAATAAGCTATTCCAGTCTTTATTCACCTACTAATGAATTATACATTGATTATACAATAGAAGCTCTCTACATCGATAGGCTGGGCTCTTGTTCTCTCGCATGGCATCTTGCAAAGCGCAGCTGAGCCCAGCTGCAGGTCTGGCCTCTCTGATGCCCTGAGAAAAATGAATGTCCACTGTGCGGGCTCATGAGCTGAGAGGAGTGTGTCTGCACAGGATAAACTCGTTTGCGTTTGCTCTTCCTCTGCCGTAACTCCAGTGGGAGTCAATGCTGTCCTTCCTCACCACCCTCCCCTTCCTTGTCCTCCTTATATAACCTAACCCATCACCATAGATACGTTAACATAAATATTTAAAGATGGCAGAGAGACAGACCGTGCAGACAAGAACCATTTGTTGAGTTTATTAGAAGCAGAAACTTCAGGCACTGCTACAGGTTTCTGCTTGCCTCCCAAAGGCTGCCAGGCAGATACAACCTCCCCGGGCTATCACCCTGCTTCAGCTGAATGTGCAGAGCAGGGCACAGGGAATTTTGGATGAGCAGGTGCCAGCTGCTCCTGCTGGGGCACAGAAAAGGTCTTCTGGAGATGTCCCCCTAGATACACAGATGAGATTCTTGACATGATTTTTCCTACTCAAAATGAGGCCATTGGCTGGCTGCTCAAGGGTGAAGGCAAGCCTCTTCTGGGGTGTTGGAGATCCACCTTCCCACTGCCATGCCCTTGTTCAGGTCCCTGCTTTGAAAATCGGTATGGCAGGGTGGCAGCTGCCTAGGAAGTTACTCTTATGTGCTCTGGGACTGTTACCCTCCTGCAGGATGAATTTCTGAGGTTCTTTCACACACCTCCAAATGTCATATTTAAAGATTTTTGGTGATGCTTCTGTTGTTCAGGGTTTTTTTTTACCAGCACAGGTAAATTGTAAATCTAGGCTATTTCTGTTTTATTTGCCACAGAAAATAAGATGCAGTGGTTTAAAGCTAACTAGGACCTCACCCACAAAATTACATGTGTTTTATTCTCATGGTTTGTCCATCATTTTTGTGCTGGCTGTGAGGAGGGCAGGGGGTTTGCCATGCAAGCTCAAGCCATACAACCAGACTACCACCACATCAGCAGCCACCGCACAGTCCCCCGTGGATGAGGGACTCCCATCTACTTTCCAAAATCTCCTGGAGACCCTGGGTGTTAGGTGTTTAGAGCCTGTCTCCATGCTAATCCTTCCACATGCTGGTTACCAGCTCCCCAGGCACTCATACGAGGTGGGGAGGATGTGGGTCTGTCCTCTCCCCTCATCCCCCTCCATCACTTTTATAAAACACAAAGTTCTTTTGTGGAGTGGAGCTGCTCGAAGGCTGCAGGCATCTTCCTGGGAGGAGCAGGATCAAAATCCCAGGGACTGAGTTTGCAGAATCCTGCTGGTAAGGGGCAGCCTGCTAAATCCAGGGCTGGGAGGAGGCTCAAGCCACCTGCTTTAACAGACCCTGCTGACTCCTGCCCATAGGGTCAGCTATCCCCAAACCCACAGGCATCACAACAGACCTATAAACAAGTTCACAAAAACACCAACAACACAAGCCTAACAAACAGAGGAAAACCACTGCAAGCACCTCCATTCTCTGCTGCTTCACTATCTGCAAACCCAATTGCAAAAGCAGATTCAAATGGGCAGAGGAATTCTATTTGGGGTATGGGATTTGGGGTGTTTTCTTTTTTTACTTTTTTAGTGTTTATTTTTCTCTTTCAGCACACAAGTCTTGGCAGGTAGGTAGCTTTTTCACAGGCCTGCCTGCAGCTACCTGCTCTGCAAAGAACTGTGCATTAGCATGGTGCACCGATGAGCACTTGAACCAAGCCCATCCTCCCAAAGATGGAAGTCATCAGCCCTATTCATAGCGCTTACACTTGATACCCGCATGAGACATCGATACCTGAACCGAATGTGTGCAAATTAGTTTTACTTATTTATACAGCAGCATTTTATAAAGAGCTGATAAAGCCGCTGAGAGTCTCTGAAATGCAGTTTTGGTACTTTATGGACTGTACAGCAAGTAGTACAGCATGACAAATGAAAATCCAACACCTGAAATCCACACATCATCTGGGGAAACAGTATGTATTATCTTGACACTGTTATCACAGTGGTGGTTATTTTCTTCCAGTACATCGAGGTCAAAGTTTTCAAAGGTACCCAGATGAGCTCCTAAAATAAGTAAATAATAATAAAAACAACCCTAAACAAAGCAAACAAGAAGATGTTTGGACAAATCTTGAAATCCTTTTCCACTTCCAAGTTTTGGAGAGGACTTCCTTTGTACAGCCAGATGGGTGAACCCAGTTTATACCCAGTAAGTTTTAGCCTGTAACTGGGAGCTTCTTGATGCAGGAGATGGTGGGGTTGTGCCCCTGCTCCTCCTGTCAGAGCCACATCTGTGCCTCAGCTCTGTGCAGGATGGGCTCCAACACACCCCAAAGGAAAGTCCCTGAAACAGGTCTGTGTTAGCTACAAACCAGATTGTTTGCTACTACAGTTTTTGGAGGGTATGAAAAGGTTTATTTTTTGGTTTCCATTTTCCTTCATTTCCCAGCATAAGAGAAAAAAAGGCAGAAAGCAGGAAAACAGAAGCAACAGTGACCAAAAAAAAATAAAAAATAAAAAATAAAGAAGCAATCCCAAGCTCCCCAGAAGCAGATTCAATGCCAAATTCGTGGCAGTGATTGCAGCTGGGGTTGCCTGCTCTCCAGTGCACAGAAGTTGATTTGAGAGTCATATTCCTTCATCACCATGGGGCTGCTGCTGCTGAAGGTCTTATCAGTTTGCAGCTGGTTCCTTCCTCTCCCTCACACACTCTCCAAGCAGAGCCCCTGAGAGTTTTTTCTGGAAACTAATGCACAAGAGGCTCTGTGATTCATGCAGCCACCTATCTTCAGGGTCTGTGTAAGGTTGCGGGGTATTTTCATTTTGATATTTACAGCTGGGAAGGACGAAGATGCAGAAAAGAAAATGTTGTGGGATGCTATGATGTAGCAAGTGAGCAACTTCAGTATCCTGCTGTTACCCTTTGGATCAATGAGCAGGAGCCACACAGGATTGTGGCTATTGCCATAACCAGATGGGTCATACTGATAATTTGGAGTAGCAGTTACGTGCGTAAATAGCCTCATGAGCCTCCAACTTCTTTGGTAAGGCTGGATGAGTGAATGTGGCTTAGAGACAAAGGGTTTATGCATCCATGGCAAGCCCGCAATCCAGGATGCACTCGGCATAAGTAATTGGAGAATGGGGCCACTTCTATTCATTCCTGGTCCCTGCCACCATGGAGCATTGTGGGCTGTTACTGCAGGGGCAAAGAAGGGTGTATGACAGAGCTCTGGACCAGCGCATCCTTAAGGGCAATGGGAAGATTTCGGAACAAGTTGACTCATTTTCAGCATACATGTGTAGGAAATGTGTGCTTAGCTAACAGCACATTCCTGCCTATGGGATGCATGGCAGGGAAGACTCCATCGTGTGTGAAAATGTTTGGCTCAGAAGCTTTCGCTAGAGGCAAGTGCCCAGGCAGAAAGAGGGCAAGTTTCCACATACAACACTGCAGACAGGCACCGAGTTTGTATTTAGTGTGGTAAGATCCTGAGCTTTGATGGAGGTGTGAGCTGCTGCCTTTACCAGAATTCCTCTTACACTCTGATTACGTGACTTAACTAGCCTGCCCCTCCCTGGAAGAAGTGAATGTGCTTGCTGGGATGAGAGCAGTTTATATTTCTAGGGATGAGCAAGTGGGTCAAGGTAGGTTTTGGCCAAAACCTTGGGAAATTTCAACATGTTGCTGTTGCACAACTTTAACTGAAATCTAACCAAGATTTCTAAGCCATAATGTGAGGCTTACTTGCACTATTGACATGTGTGACCTCTTTGCTGGGCAGCCCTGAAGTCCCAGAGATGCTGGTGTGACCCAGTAATCAATAGATAGCATCCTGAGTGGCTCTACTGAACCTGAAGCAATAGCTTACAGTAATATATCCAAAAGCTCAGGCAAAAAGTGTTTGGCAGATCAGAGCTTAGGATAAAATAGGTGGGGGGGGATGAAGGTTAAAAAGTAATGTAAAAATCTCTTTCCATTTCTGTTTTGTTTGTTTGGTTGCTTTTTTTTTTTTTTTGCAAGGAGGTCTCCTCATGGTTGCATACCAAAACTTCTGTATACAGAAATACAAATCCTGCTGCACCCTGCACCCATTCATGGTACCCTAGGCTTTACCCTGGGCTGCCTGGTGAGGTTAGGGGATGACACTGACCTTTAAGTGGCCAGGTTTAGGAGACGGTGGTGATAGAGCTGCCCAACAGAAAATGGGGAAAAAAAAATGGAAGAAAAAAGGCAAAAAAGAAAAAAAGGGAGTGTGGGAAGACAGGCTGAGAATCTGGGCTTGTTCAGCTTGGACAAGGGAAGAGTCCAGGGAGAACTTAGAGCAGCTTCCAGTGCCTAAAGGGGCTGACAAGAAATCTGGAGAGGGGCTTTTTAAAATGGGCACATAGTGATAGGATAAGGGGGAATGCCTTCAAGATGGAAGAGGTTAGATTTAGATCAGACATTAGGAAGAAATTCTTTACTGTTAGGGTGTTGAGGCACTGGAACAGGTTGCCCAAAGAAGCTGTGGCTGCCCCATCCCTGGCAGTGTTCAGAGAGCTTTGAACAACCTGGTCTAGTGAAAGGTGTCCCTGCCCATGGCAGGGGGGTTGGAACGAGATGATCTTTAAGGTCCCTTCCAACCCAAATGCTTCTGTGATTCTGTGATTCTGTGAATAGAAAAACAAGAAAAGGGAAAAACAAGAAAAGGGAAAAGATGGGAAGGAAAAGAGAAAAAGGGAAAAAGGTGGAAAAGGGAAGGAGAAAAGGGGGAGGAAACCGAAACAAACAAAAACTGCGCGCGTGCAGGAACAGAGCCCCCGTTTCGGGAGAGTGCTGCCAGTGTGCGCAGAGCCTTCACCCCGGAGGGGCGGGAGGCGGGGCGTTCGGGGGGCGTGCCCGGGGGTGGGGGATTCTCTTCTCCCGCGCCGCAGCCGCCTGAGTCTGGCTGTAGAGATTGAGAGCGGCCGCCATGGGGGTGGAAGGTTGCACCAAGTGCATCAAATACCTCCTCTTCGTTTTCAACTTCATCTTCTGGGTGAGCGCCGGGGCGGTGGCGGGGGGGGGATTTGAGCTACCCCAGAGCTTGCAATAGCGGGGCTCCAATATGGCTCTTGTGCCTGCGCCTGGTTTTACCCTCTCTCCCGCTCCCCCAGCATTAAGGCTTGCTGCCTGCGATATATCTTAAGGGTTGTTTTTTCGGGGAGCGGGGGGCTGTTTATTCTTTGCTTTTTTTTAATGCACATATATATATATATTTGCACGTTTATCTATGTGGTTTTTTCTATATAGATGCATATATAGGTATAGAGGCATAGAATCGTTTAGGCTGGTAAAGACCTTTAAGGTACTCGGGTCCAACCGTTAAATGTGTTTGTACGCATCCGTTCGGAGCGGAAGGGCGGGGGGTGCTGCGCGGGGACCGAGCTGGGGTGGGGCGGAGCGGAGCGGGGGGCTGCAGCGGGCCGACATCCCCCCAGTTCTGCTGCTCGAGGCTCCTGTGGCTGGGAGCGGCCGGTGGGAACGCCAGCCGATACGAGAGGCAGAGATGGGCAGGGTGGATGCTGCCAGGCGGAGGGAGGGAAGACGCTGGCCCAGCCGTGCCTGCAGAGGAGCCGGAGGGGAGAAGGTGTTCCAAAACCACGGGGCTGGTTTTACTCTCCCCACCCCGAGAACTGTCAGGGAGCGTATCGGGCTCAGTGGTGCTGGCACCGTGTTGGGAGCCGGCTTTGACACCCGCGTGTGGATGGTGCCCAAGCTGGGCACTGCTGCCCCTGCCGCCTGGGAAGTTATTTTAGGATGCAGATTTTGCCCAGGCTGGAGAGCTCTCCGTCGCTGAGAAAGTTTCTCATGAAATAATCCATCCAGACATGCGGGTGATTTAGCAAAAAGCAGCGTATGCCCGGTTTCTCGCAAACCAGGTTTTTCCTGGTTAGAAAAACCCTCCGGCAGCCGGGGCTGGCATGGCAAGAGACGTTCCGTGCCGGCTCCAGCGCCCGCAGCAGCGCAGTGTGCCCAAGCAGGCTGCTTTGCTTTTGTTTCTGGGTTCGGTTCTTTTTGTTTGGTTTTTTTTTCCTGGATAGGCTGTTTTCCATTCCCCAAAATGCTGTTTTTCTTGCAAGCAAGCCCAGCCCCACCCCACGGCGGCAAGGCACAGCTTGCTGAGCGCTGGCTGCGTGGTCAGGATGTGGCCCGTGTCAACACCCTGCTTTGTTGAGAGGGCATTTGGATGTTTTCTTAATCTTTGCTCGCAGCAGTGAAGACAGAGAGGAGGGCTGGAGAGGTGGGGATAGGATTAGTGCCTTCCAGAGCAAGCCTTCCCTTAGCATGGGGAGTACTGTGCCCAACGGGAGCCTCTGCCTGTTGCCTTCTCCCCGGTGAAGCTGTTGGGTGGTTCCCACCTCTGGGAGGTGCAGGGCTTAACTACTGCATGGGAGCGAGTACTGCCAAATCTGGCCTGATTTCAGGCCTCCTTGCCTTGTTTCTGGGTATAGTGCTGACCAGTCGGGAGATGACGAGCTCTGACGACAGTGGTGTTAATTGATACCTGATGCATTGCCAGCTGCAAGATGAATGTGGGACAGACCTGGGAGTTTATTTTAATCTTTTCCTCCACCTTTAAAATGGCAGGATGGAGGCGGGTAGGCTTTTCTCTGAAGTGTTGTTCCTTCTGAGTTACCATGCTTATCCTGGGGATTCTTCTCTTCTGGACCCAGTTTCCTGCCATTCTTGTTGCTGAAGCTGCTGGGTGGGTATGCGAGGGAGGAAGGGTCTCCTGGGTGGCAGGAAGGATGCTGGGGGCTCTGCAAAGCTGCTGTTTCTGGGCAAGCTCACTTGCTCACCACAGTCTGTGTTGACAAAACACCTTATCTTTCATAAATGGGCATTTTGCTTCCAAGAGGAACAGCTGAGCTGTTTAATTTCCCTGTTGGGACTTCTGGTGCCTTCCCATACCCCTTGAAGGGAGCCTGATGCCTGCGGAAAGATGCTCCAGCTCCTCCCAAGGAGGGGTGCTTGTGAGCCGAGGTCCACCAGCTCTTCAAACCATTCCCAGTGCTGGGCTCCCTCATGGCCAGTCCCCTTGGACCACCTCCTGTTCAATAAGAAACCTGGGCTTCATTTGCATTAACAGTGCTTTCTGCAAGGCTGGCCATCTGAAGGGTGGTTGAACACTGAGTCTTAGGGTTTTCAAGCCCTTCTATGGTGTTTCCTAAGCCAGTGGTTGAGGGGAGTTTTAGGTTTACCACGAAGGGCACACAGTTAGCAGCCAACTTTGTGTGCCCAGGTCTGGAGGGATGTCTTGGTTGCCACCCAAGTGTGAATGTCCTTTTCATGGGATGGGATTTACAGGCTGGACATGGTCCTGAGCACCCTTGATGCAGGGTGGCTCTGGCAGGACTGCAGCGAGGTGCAAGACTGGGCACTCACAGCCGTGTGGCCCTGCCAGCTGGCTAGCATGCAGGGGCTGCTGGGCACCTCACAAGCATGAGCTTATCTCATGCCTTGTGTCCAGTCGAGGTCGGGCACTGTTGATGAAAACAAGTGGGAGGCAGAGCCCAAAGTTTGGCAGGCATCGCAACTGTGCTGCATGGGACCTTGCTGCAGCATCCAAGAGGAAGAAAGGAAGCAATTCCTAGCCTCAAGAGTGTTAACAAATAAGGCAGAAGCTCTAATAACTTTTTAAAGTAGCCCTGCTCTCCTGCTGGACTGTAAATAAACTGACACCCCTCTGGTTTCCTCCCAGTTTTTCCTCTGTCAGCACAGGGGGTTTCACAAAACTGCTGTGTTGAAAGGCAAGAGGAAAAGGCAGCCCTGCTGCCAGCTCCCCAGGGCACCTTGACAGCCCTTCTGCCTGGGATGATTTGGGTTTACTTTATTCTTTGGGGTTGTTTTTCCTTTGTGCATGCATTTTTTGAGTAGAAGATGCCATGTGCTTGGTCCATAGTGGCTCTCGAGGAGGGAGCTGTACAGACCACACATACAGATGGGTGCGCATCCCAGGAGTGGACGTGGCCAAAGCAGGGCTGGGCTGGGAATGTGGCAAGTGGAGCTGCTTCTCCATCCCACACTTGGTAGACAGATGGACTTTTACTGCTTTCCTGAATTATCCAGATGTGATGGCAGAACTCAGTGCATGGGGCTGGACTGACCACTGCTGCAAAGAGTCCCTGGGGAGGACGAAGGAAGCCAGAGAGCTATTTTAAAATTTAATTAAGCATAACCAAGGAGAAATTGGCTTGCTCGGAGAAGGATCACCCAACTTATCGGCTAATACAGCCTATGGCAGCCTTCCAGCTCTAGAGCACTGCTGACTGCCCTTCTAGAGAGGTGCCTAATTAAAAGGAAGAGCTTGCTCCTAATGCCATTTTCCAGGCACCACCTAACTCTTTTCTCTTGCTTGTATTGAGGGGATGTGGTGCAGTTGGGATGCAAAGGGGAGGAAGGGCAAGAGCAAAGGCAAGGTGGGAGTGAAAGTCTGTCTGGACAGTGGTGGTTGGAAGGGAAGGGATGGCAGACTTGAATACTTTCTGGTGCAACACTAGAAAATCTCTTGGCTGTCCTTTGGAGTCCACAAAGCGTGCTAAAAGAAACCTGGCCTTAGTGATGAGAGGTGAGGGTGGAGGGAGGTGGTGGCTCTCTGGTGGTGGTCCCATGGTGACAAAGCTGCTGAGTGGCTCTTGACTGTTCCAGTGTGATGAGGAGGGCAGCTGCGTCCTGCTGTACACGGGTTTAAACAGGGAATGGTGGTTCATGTGGCATGCAGCTCTGAAGCAAATTAGCCTGTGTTTTGTTCTGGGTGCAGGCTTGTGCTGAGCACTGCTGATAGTGATAGTGGCTACCAGGAGGCTCCTCTGCAGAGTATGGGGTTTCTTTTGCTTATTGGTCTCCCTGGGAATCGCAGAGCTTGGTGAGCAGCAAAGGTGCGATGCCAGCCCAGCATCTTCTTCCACCAACTTTGGGTTCAGCATCCTGGGATGATGTACAGACAAGAGTATTTCCACATGTGCTTCACCTGGCAGCTATTTAATGTCTGTCTTTGAAGGGCAAAGGAGAGGTTTTCTTGGCAGGCTGTCTATCTGGATGCAAGTTGAGAGAGCTGATGGCTCTCTGGGATTTAAGCAGGTCTTTTGAAGGAACTGGTGCCCTGCACTGGGGGGATACCCTATTTCAGTTAATGGGCTGGGCTGCCACTGGGAGGAGGGAAGATCATTGGTGGCTGGTGGGGGGAGATTGCTCTGTTTTCCTGAGGTTATTCTTCTGTCAACCACCCTAGTGCTTATCTCCTGCAAGAGTGTTAACCCATGTTCAATGCCTTGAGAAACACTTTGATCCTGTACTGAGCAACTGCCTTTCAGTGTATTGTTAAAAAGAGAAAGCAGTTGTATTACCGCTGTAGTTAAATGCATAGGTATTGGGCCAAATTAATTTTAAAGCAACACCTGAAACTGTTTTCCTCTCTGCTGAGAGCAATTAAAACCTGCTGGTAGATGTCAGCGTATAGTGATACCCTTGCTCACAGAAGGAATCGGGCTGTGGCAGGCAGGGAGCAGCCTACAGGCTCAGTGCTTCCCACTGGAGGACCCCACTCCTGGATTTTGGTTCCAGATTCCTGCTCTCCTCCCATCCATCAAGCTGTACTTGGCCTTTGGTGTGCTGCTCCTCGGGGAGTGTTCCTCTGGAGCTTGTTTTGAAAAGCCCCGCAGTGTTGTGGGGCTGGTAACTTAGGCACCAGCAGAGAATTTCCCCCCAGCCAGCAGCTCTATTAATAGCCACTGGTGGGAGGTGGTGGTGGCTGGGCTGTGCTGTGCTGCTGGGAGCGGAACCCTCCTCCTCCTGCCTGCAGACCACGGGTTTTTTCCCAAATGCCCATCCTGCGGTTCCTGGCCAGGCCTTGCCTGCAAACTTCCAGCCTGCCTTTTTGTGGCCATCCAGCACAGTTGCTGAGGGAAGGCAGCAGAAATGACGCGCCTGCCCTTCCCACGAAGGGCCCTGTCTGTTGGTGCAGATGGAGAGTGCTTGTGCTGAGCTCGGTGGAAA